CCGTGTCTCGGGGAGAGCGGCTGCAGCTCCTGCCCGGGCCAAAGGCCTCTCCAGGGGACGCAGGCTCAGCTCCTCTCCTTGCAGGTGCTTCCCTACAGATCTCTGCGGTGGGTTTTTTTCCTTCAGTTTAGCAGCTTAACAAGAAATTCAGAATTAAAAATAAATAAATCAATCCCGAAGCAACAGCTGCAAAACACAGCCTTCCACAAAAGGAAGGGGGGCTCCTTTCAGAAAAGAAAGGAAGAAAAAAAATCTTAAGTCTCAAACACCATTTTTTTTTATGTATTGAACACCATGCCTAAAAAAAAAGCGACCGAACATTAGAAAGTATCACAGAGTGGGGGAATTTAAAACCACATCCTTATCTTTCAGCACGTGGAATTGACAATGATGGCAACATAACACGGGTTATTCCCAAAAGAAGAGCTTCTTCAGATGTCTGGAAATAGAATCAATATAAATCCAGACGAAACCCCAAATCCCACTTTCTTCTTTTCAGCGAAACTTATCCATCCTTCCTCATCCTACCCTTTCTCCTTTCTATATCATAGAGCAAGTTCCATTTTCTGTAGGCTCTTCAACCTGAACATGCTTCTCAAGGGGTATAGTGAACCTTATGATTATAATGGATTTTAGGCCTCCTTCTACCAAAGTACTGACAGAAGTAAGTGTTATTTATGAGTTTCAATTCTCTACCCATGAAGGGAGGGACTAAAATCTGGCTTCCCCTTCTTGGAAAAATAGCAGTCTTCATAGATCGAAGAGAGGAGGCAGATGAAAAAGCCATCATGTCATCAATAGCTCTGCAAAAATACAGCTATCTTCATACACAAGACTCTACACGTTAGAAGAGCAGAAGTTTATCAGATGATTCACATCCAGTAAGGAGAAAGTTATTTAAGGTAGCCTTAAGGAATGGTTTTGCTTTTGCCTGTCCCAACCATCACCACCCAGTGTTGAAAGCTGTCATAACATGTATGCATCCACATCCTTAAAATACTTTTTTTCTTCCTCTATACATACACATTTTCAAGTCAGTGAAATCAAGCAAATGCAGGATTCGTCCAGCAGAAGTCAGAGGCTCTTAGGAGCACCAGAACACGGCTGAAGACAAACTTTTTGCCGGCTGGGCTATGACTGAGTGGCAGGCGACTGGCCGTCGGAAACTGGCCGTTTGACTCTTCCCTCTGACACATGCCCTCGCTTGCCCTGCGGCGGCACACGCGGTGCCAAATCCACAAAGCTGTTAGGTGGCCACAGACCGTTTTCTAGCCGAGCCAGGCACCTACGCTTCTCAGCAAGTCTCCACCTCCATATTCCGTCTGCGAGCCCAGAATGTGCCTGTAAACAAGGGGGAGGTGTTATGCTACAACGCCCATAGCTACTACAACCCCACCCATGTAGGTGGCAAGGGTGTTCCTGTTGTTTACCCACTTGGATGCAACCCTCCTCCCAAGTAATTACAACTCCTAATGCAAGGAAGCAAGGGTCCTCACACACAAATTAATTCCCTTGTTTCTTTTACAACATGTTCATTTAATACACTTTCCTCTCCCGGAAAATCCTTAGAATAAACAAAGCAAGTCACAGTTGCCCTCACTGGATACTACCAGAGCACTCAAACACAATTAAACTTAATTCCCAGAGCAGCCAACAGTCGCGGAAGTGACTCAGCCTCTCTGAGCGTTGTCCTCTGCAGGACTAACAGCAGCGCTGGGCAATGCAAGGAGAGGGACGGGCCCGAGACACAAAACAGAAGTAAACAAGAGAAAAACTTAGATGAAAAAAGAAAGAAGTACATGTGCAGCCAAGCATGCCCTCTTGACTTGCAGAGACAAGCAGGCAGACATGCAGACAGCAGAGGAACTGGAACACGGCTGTGGTACAAAACCTGCAGCCTCCCAAAAGGCTCGTTCTGCATGGTTTATGAACGTCACTGCATGCTGCTCCCAAGTTTCTCCACAGACTTTTTCAGGAGATTTAAGATCACCAAACATCACTAGAAGCAAGTTTTCACTCCAATTTGCAAGACAGAGGCTTTTAGCAGAGGCCCAACTATCTCCGCATGTTCTCCTCTGACATCCATCTGAAATCCCGTGACACGAGAGCAATCAAGGTTATCCAGAATGTTTTCCTGCACGCTCCCACGTATCCACTGACTACCTTGAGGCAAACGCAGCGCTGTCTTCACTCACAAAATTTCTGTCTCGCTACAAACAGGAGTTAGATTTTTCAGAAAGCTGAGGGCTCATCTTGGCTGTTTCGTTGGGTTCTTTCAATCGAATCTGGGTTCTTCCAACTATTTTAATACTAACAGTTACTGTGTACGTACACACATACGCACGTGTCACGGAACTGCAGGGCATAATCAAAACCACATTTATTTCTGCAGATTCTAATATGCTAACATGCACGCACTACTACTTTAAAAGAGCAGGCTACTAGCAACTTTGAAGGTCAACATAAAATACTCCTTCCTCTCCAGCTGCTTTGTGTTTTTCCTACGGACCACTGAGATGGAGTCCAGTGTCTTTACTATTTCGGTCACTAATTAAGCTCTCTGCAAACTCAGCCGCACTATTTTCTCGCTAATATTCCCCTCTTTTCTCAGGAAACCCTTATTTCTGTCAATTAGCATTAGCTCACTTGACAGGGAGGGCACAGCATGAATTCAAACAGAAGTTAGAATTTCACCCAGTTATGCTTCAACGTTTAGTTTCCATGAAGGTTCCAACCTCAGTTAATGGCATCATTGTACCTCATAAATTATTCAGTAGACATAACTACAGTTCTCTTGTAAAGCCCACCCTTCCCATACATAAAACTTGGCACTAAAAAGCCATTTGAACACTTATTTCTGCTGTAAGTGAGCGTATGGCGCGTTTTCCTTTGAAGAAAGAGGACTCCATCGAGCTGTAGACTACTGAAAGAAGCTGAAATGTTGCTGGGAAGGTTGCCGTGCATACCCTGCAGCGAGGGCTGCCGTAGGAGAACTCCCGCCACAGAGAATGTAGTTCTGCCCTGTGGCAAGCAAATTCAGAAACAATCAAGTCAAATGCCTGTGAAGGAAAAGTTATCTAACATTTGCTAACAAAAGTATACCTACGCATTCCATATCCATCGAAACCTGCAGGAAGAGTCAACCCTCTGAAATCTGCAGTCCAAACCACCTCAAGACAGTCTCCCTCTCACTTGTTATACGCATAATGAAGGCACAGACCCAAAAGCAAATGCAGGAAGAACATTTGCGTATCTTAGAAGGCACAGACCCAAAAGCAAATGCAGGAAGAAGAACACTGGCGTATCTTGGAGAAATTCTTAAAACCCATCACTCTGATGTTTCCAAGAGAATGTTATGCTCTAAAGGTAAACAATTACACAGAGGGAAAATGCTTGGTAACACATGTGGGAGTGAGGATGACACAGCACATGTTATGCAGACCCATGGAAACATGAAAAGCAGTATTAGACAACTCAAACGTCACGCAGAACATAAGGGAATGGCACAGTATTTTTCTTTTCTTTCTAAGAGGGAAGCCGTAACATTCAAGTCCTAGCCTGGCAGTCAAAGTGAATACCAACAAGAGAGGGAAACAAATCAGTGACAGAATATGAGCATCCACAGATAAAATCAGAAATCAAAACTGGAAAGTACCATTACAGATGCAACTAAGCAAATTGCAAAAGAAATATAAGGAAATACATAAAGCTACAAGTCTGGGTTATTTCTTTCAATACTACATCTGATTGTGTTTAAAGAAAAGATACTGGAAACGTTAATAGAGACAGAAGGTTTACTAAACCATTTAAGTAGGCATGAAGGAGTTGAAGATGTTTCAGCAAGTAACTGGAAATACCGCGAAGTGGCCTGGAGAGCTCCAGCTTGCCTCGGGCGGCCTTGCACACTGCCAGTCCCATAAAGCATCATCCCGCTCGTGGGGCAGGAGGGAAGGGGGCGGCATGTCAAATGAAGGAAGCAGGTGATTCACAGTATCTCCCCACCTGTGATTTCTTTCCCGTAATTTTTCACTTTGATAAAACAAGGACAAACGTGTCCCATACAGAAGGTACACGCTGCTTTCCGTAGCGAATTGTTTTTCCTGCTACAGAGATTTTCTTATATTCAGGTAAATTCTTTTTATGTCTTGACATTACTAACACCCTCTGCATCCTAAAACCTATCTGCTGATAAAAGTCATACCCTTTAAATACATTTAACAAAGTAGGAAGCAGGGCTTTTCAGAAAGCGATCTACAAGCCGTTGAGGATGATAAATTGCAGCAATAAAAGCTTGGCTCTAGCATCAAATTAGACCGTTACTTATGCACCAAATATAGTGCTTGGAGAACATGCCTCACAACATGGATCGCTTCCCAAAATGCTGATCAGTGCTCTTGAAAACCAATGCTTTATGAATGACTAAAGCAAATCTAGTCATACAACCTCAGAAATCACAGCAGTGCGGTTGGGGGGGGGGAAGAAAAGTAGAAAAAAAAGAAAGACTAACTAAACAGTTTAAGACAGTCTTCAATCCTTTTAAACTCAATAAAAAGAACCATCCGTTAATGTGTTTAGGAAAAAGGAAACGTTAAAGAAGGAGAAACTTAACTACATTTGAATGGGGGAGAGTCACTTCAGCACTTCGTAAAAGGCCGTATTTTCTCGTAACCCCCATGCAAAATAGGCTGATGACATGAACACAGCAAGTGAGAAACACTCTCTACCTTCCCAACAGAAAACCTCCAAGAGTATTCGTAAGATTACACTTACACTCCCATTAATAGGTAAAAGGGGGCTTGAATTCGGGAAATAACAGAACAATC